CGCAGGTAGTGCCTCCCCTCGTCCGCCGGGTGAAGGCGCCTTCTCCGAGCAGCATCGCGGTCTCGTCGCTTCTGTCAGGGATGGTGGCCGGCCGGCTGGACGTGACCGCAGCCGACCTCGTCTCCGTGGGGACAGACGTTGGGGCACAAAGGCAGGGAGGTGGCCCGTGGCACAGACTCAGGCCCTGGAGGCCGCAGCGGGGCTGGCGAAGCGGGGGCGGCTTCTCCCTGCGGGCACCGGTGGGGCTGGGTGGCACCGTCGATCGCCTGCCAGGGCACCTCGGCCGCGCTGACAGACCCTGTTTGGGCTCCTCGAGTGTGAAAGACCTTTTAGCTGCAGGCAGACTGAAAATATAACATATAAAGATACATAAATTTCCATACAAATCTCCTCTTTACCGGCTGTAATTAAGATATTTGCATGCAAAGGGAACAGTCTGTTCCCTTGACTTGCTCCTGGTAGGGAATTGTATTTCTCTCATAATCCGCAAAGCCCAAGACTTTGTGATCTGTCTGTGTCTAAACAGGAGGAGGAGGAGCGAGGCCCGGGTCAATAGAGGATCCGAAATTCAGGACTTTAAGCACTGATTTGACGCCTGGCTGCTTATTTTATTTTCTTTTTTCGGTGCAGGTAACCCCACAGATCAGCTAGGGTGGGGCAGGACAGAGCAGGGCTGGGGAGCCAGAGAACCCAGGACAAGGTGGGCAAAGCGCTCACTCTGCTGGAGTCAGCCGGGAAAGCCTTCCAGGGGCCGGTCCTTCTGTTAATAAGCTACGTGGCCTTAGAAACTTTCCAAAATTCTGTAAGCTGCAGCTCCTTATCTGTAAAAAAAAAAAAAAAAGAACAATCTCTTCTTTTGTGTGGATTAAATACGATAATGTATGCAAATTGCCTGGTACCTATTAGGTCCTCAACCCATGGTAATTACTATTCCGTGTAAGTGAATAAGGTAGAAATTATATATGAGACATTTTAAATAATTTTAATTTACAAGCCACGGTATCTTCGATGAGGGCCTTGGTGCTGGAGACTAAATCTAAAGGGAGAAGAACTCAGAAACCTAAAAACAAAGCTACTCACCCCCACGACTGGTTTGCACGCTCACGCTGGTCTGCTGGCGGCGAGGAGGACGGGGCAGTTGTGCTGGCTGGAGCAGCAGCTGTCACTGCGCCGAGGGGCAAACTGCCGCCCGCCGTAACTGCCCACCGTGCAGCCGCGGTACCCAGAGACCCTCCCCGGGCCCCCGGCGGGTGTTGCCGATGGTCACGTGCCCGGGCGCCTCGGAGACAGGCCCAAGGCTGTTTCGGCCCCACCTGCCCTTTCTCGCTAGTCGCCTGTGACAGGGTGCCCGTTTCCTGTGCACAGGGACACAGCGGACGCGCAGGGCTTGGTGACCGTTAGCGGGGAGGTGCTGGCTTCTCCACCCCACCATCGCCACCAGGGTGGTCTGCCGGTGCCAGGCGCGCCGGGGAAACTGAGTCAAGCCCATCAGTGTCCTCAAGTTGATTGGCAGGTGGTGGTACCTCCTCTCCCACTCTGCCGGTCACCACGGCAACCTTGGCCTCCCGGCCCCACCCCTGGGGTCTGCGTTGTGCCTCTGCAGCCGGCTGGACCTTTGACGCAGCTTGTTCCTGATTTGTTTCCTAACCCCGTGAGTCAGTCCCCAGCCGCCCTGAGGCCTGTGCGTCTGTGTGTGCTCATGTCCTCGAGCCACCCGGGTGCTGTGAGCCAGCACCATCTTCCTCGAAACAAAGCAACCCTCTGCATTTTATCTGTTCATCTATTTTTAAAAATTTATTTACTTATGCATGCAGAACTGGGGTACAGGCCAGAGGTGCAGGAGTGGTGAGAGGACAGAGCGGGGTGCAGAACAGGCAGGTGGACGAAGTCCACTGCTGAGGGAGCAGCGGGTGGGCCAGGAGAGGTCTGCCGCGCCCTGTGGGTCAACTCCCTGGCGGGGGATCGAGCTCGTGCTGCAGGGGCTGCGGAGAGCTTCACAGTGCGTGCTCTAACCCGCTGCGCCACCAGGGAGGCCCTGCAGGCTCGTCTGGAAGAGACAATTCCAGCGCCTCCCAGTCCCGGGACCATGTCCCCCCTACAACACGGGGCCTTTGGCTGCTTGATATTGAATCGCCGAGTAGCGTGTGTCCAGGGCAGTGAGGAGGGCTCGGGAATAGCTTGGAGTGGCCGTGGCTGTCCACACGGTGTGACCAGGGGATCTTGGGGTCTGCATCTAGGCTCAGTGGACCACGTGGGGCCCCCCGGGGACGTCCTCAAGGAGAGGAGGGCCGGGTTCCGAGTTAGTGCTGTGCTGTCCAGTCCTGGCCCAGGCCAGCCGGCCAGCGCCCTCTCGCAGGGTCCCTGCCTTGGCCGCCACGTCCCGGCCGCCACGTCCCGGCCGGGGGGCGCTCAGCCCGGCTTAGGTGTGGGTTCACTGAGTGTTGCAGAGGGGCGCTCGCCAGGCGATCTCTCGGGCTAACCGAGGTGGGGATGAGCGCGGACCTGGGCTGTCTTCCACCGGCCTCCCTCCGACTAGGGAAACTGAGCAGCAGAGGGGGCCAGGGAAGGCGCATCCCCTCCGCCTCCTCCAGCGCGTGTGTCCTTGAGAACACGGGTCAGGCTGTCCCGTGACCAGGCAGTAGCCAGGCTGCCCCCCCACCCCCGTGTCCGGTGCCCACGCCGAGCCAGGGTGGCGGTGCCTTGGCCCAGCGCCCGCACCAGGGGCCGGGCAGCCCCGCACCCGCTCGGGACAGTCTTATATCCCAGCCGGTTCCTCCCCCGCGCCCGCTGCGCCCACCTGTGGTCTCTGCGGGTGCGGACATGGCCTACTCCGGGCTGGCTGGCCAGCGCAGCCCACACGGCCCGGCCGTGCCCTGCAGGGTGCGGGAGGGGTGCACGGCTCAGTAATGAGCGGGCGCCCCACCCGGATTCTCCGGGAGACCCAGACAGCCGCGTTGGCGGGTGTTAGTGCCTGCGTGGCTGGGGCAGGGCGTCACAGCAGAGACGCTCAGGATTTGGCTCTTTCCAATTCCGAGTCCACCTTGTGGCGGACATTGCTCGCGGGGGCGGGGCGGAGCGGCGGCCCAGGGCTCCTCGGCTGGCGGGGGCCGCGGTGCTCCTGGGCGCCGAGGCTCAGGCCAGGTCCACCTCATCTGCAGACTCAGCCATCGCTGCCCGGCCCACGGCCTCCGGGCCTGGCCGCCTCCGCAGTGTCTCCTCTGTCTTGAAGCTTCTCTCTCTCACTCTGCTCTGAAACCCTCGTCTCTTTGGACATTACGGCGACGTCTTTTCGTTTGACCCCCGCCCCCCGCCCGCTCCCATTTGCGCCCGCCACTGAGATCGGCCTTTCTCATCTTCTCTCTTAATTTCTGGGCTTCTGATCTTACCTCTTCATCCACGCTGCAGGTTTGGGGTCACTAATTATCTCACCGTGGGCAGATTCCAGCGCCCTTCCTCGCGTCTGATGCCGCTCTGTGCTGCCCCCCACACCACCCAGCACCCCCCCAGGCCTCGGGGGCGCCACGCCGCCACCCTTCGCTCCCTTGTCCCCCCCTTTCTAACCGTCTCCCCTGGAAGCCTCTCTTATGCACGGAGTCAGAACCCCGTCTTTTATGCAGAAGCGGTTTGAATTTACATTTTTAGCTTCCACCTCTTCCCGCTTTGATTGCTTAATCTGGAAGCCTCCCCTGGAGAGTTCGCCCGCCGTGGAACCTTGGCTTGCGGGGAATAAAACTCGCCGCGGCCACCTCCCACGCTGCACCCCGGCTCTTCCCCCGTCACCAGAATGGAAACCCCTTGGGGGTCCTCTTGAGCCTGGCTCTCTGCACCATTCCCGGCCCCCCGCACCCTGACGCCCTCCCCGCAGTGGGGGAGCCACGTGTCCCGTGGGTGTCACGGGACTACCCCGCCGTGCAGCCGCATTGCGAGCACCCCAACCTCAGGCTTCCTACCCGTGAACCCCATCCCCATGCCTGCACAGGGTCTTCGACCCTCGGCAACGTGATCCTCCCCGGCCTGGCCCTCGGGCGCGGGGCCAGTCTCCCCTCCAGACCGGCCCCTGCGCCACCGGCCCGCCCCTCTCTGCGCGTCTGAGGGGGGGGCCTGGACCGGCTCACGGTCTCTGGGTCCTGGGCCGGGTCTCCGGGCCAACACGGAGCAGGGCTGGCCCCGCCCCCGGCTGCAGGGACCTTCTCCGGGTGCCCAGCCCTCCTAGTCCGCGACGGACCGGTCCGACGGATGAGGGCCCCCGGGGACCCTCCTTCCCAAGCCGTCTCCGCGTGCGTCCACACCCCGGGTGCTGGTCAGGGCCGAGCACAGCGCGCAGGGACGCGGTGGCCGGCATCTGTCCTGACGCCCGTCTGTCCCTCCCCCACCCGCTCTCGCTCTCTCGACCTGCCCTCCCGGCCGCCCAGCCCTGGCCTCGCCTCCGGCCTCCGTCCTCGGCTCGCGGCGTCGCCTGTCAGTGGACACCCCACGTGTGTCTCTGCACGTCCTCCCGCGGCGCCCCCACGCCCCGCCTCGCCCCGAAGCGCGCGTCCCGGCCTCGCTGTCCCGGGGCCGCCGGCCACACCGTCCCCGCCTGTCCAGGGCCTCCGCACGGTCACCGGGGCAGAGGCGCTTTGTCTGCCGACGGCAGTGGGGGCGCGCGCCCAGGCGGCCCCGCCAGCTCACTGCTCCCCGAGTCGGAAGGGCCGTGGGAGGGCCCCGGGCCGGGCGCTCCTGTGGCAGGCGCCAGGATACGCGGTCCTGCGCCCCGGCGGCCGGATCCTGTGCGCTCGCCTCCCCGAGCCGGTGTCGGGGTGCGCGGCGGTCGGTGTCTGCTGAGCCCGCGGAGTCCCGGGGGACTCCAGGGTGGGGCCGGGCGGGCTCCGCACCCCCCCCCCCCCGGGAGTGGAGAGGGCCTGGCCCCTGGGGGGCCGCGCCGCTCCCGCCTCGGCGCTCCGTCTCCCTGCCCCCTTCACCCCGTGTCTTCTCTCCCCACTCTCTCCGTTGGCTGCCAGGAAGAGCTGTGCCAGGAGGGCCCCTGCGGCGTGGCGTGGCAGCGGCAGCGGCTGGCAGCACCCGCAGCTTCCACAGTGAGTCTGGGTCTTTGTGGGCCGGGGCTGGGCAGGGCAGTCCGGGCTTTGAAGAGGAGCTTCCGTGGGCTCGGGCTGCTTCCCGCCCGCCGGCCTCCTGCCTCGCCCGGGCGTCGCTGGGCCTCCTTGGGAGTCTCCCGCCAAAGCCGGGACGTGCTTGCGTGTCCCCGAGGACGCTTGGCGGGGCAGCCGGCGGCTGAGGCCAGGCCCCCGGGGCTCACCTGGCTGCCGGGCTCCGGGCGGCTGCGTGTGAGGCTCTGCATGGGCGGTGTTTGGCTGCTTTCTTGCCTTTCAGGAAGGGAGACCTTGACCTTGCGTTCTGAGTAGGCCGGTGCTGCTACACTCCGTCAGAGCCCCCCACCCCGGCACTGGGGTGCTCTGTGTCCCCGAGACCCTGACGGGGACCCGCGCCCGGGCTGTCGTCACGGAGCCCAGCACTGAGTCGGCTTTGGGGGCACGTGGGGAGCCGCTTCTCCCTGCCGGCCCCCCGTGCTGACGTCCAGCCCAGGGGCGGCCACTCTGGACTCGGTCCGGGCACATCTGTCTTGCTTGTCAGACTGGACCGGGCAGCTTCCTTCCAGTTCTTGCCACGGGATGTCCCCTTGGGTTTGGGAAACCGTCCAGAGGGGACGAGAGAAGCGCCACGCTCGCCTGCCTGCCGTGAGCGTCTCCCAGACCAGGGAGCCCCGGCCTGCCGGCCGCCCCCCCGGGCGATTCCCCAGCCCGCTGCTGGGCCCCTCCGGGGGGTGTAGCCTCTTTGGGGCGCCCACACGCAGCGCCTCCCGAAGTCGCAGTCTGTGGGTCACGGTTGACGCTCCTGTGGTTCCTCTCGTGGTTGGCCGGGGAGCACGTTCCACGGAGCCCCCGGCCCGGCCTCCCCCTCGCCCCTCCCGTCGGCGGTTCCCAGTCCCGACCAGCAGCGGTGGGTGTGGGTCGCGGCGGGTGCTGGAGCCTGTGGGAATCCCGGGGCCCAGCCGGCCGCTCTGGCTCCGTGCACCCCCTGGATTTGTCACGGCGGCGGGCCGTGGGGCTTCTGGTGTTGGGAGCCCGTAGCTTCAGCGGAAGGATCAAACCCGTCAGCTGCATCAGTTACGTTTGGCAGCTGCTGGTGTAACTCACAGTGGCATCTGCCTGGCTGGGCTCGGGCATGTCTGAGGGACAGGGCTGCCACGGCGTCGCGTCCGTGGTCGCAGGGGTGGACCGGGCGAGGCAAAGTCGTGTCTGGTGGTGCAAGCCCTCAGGGCCTCCCCGGCAGGGGCTTGTGTGCGTGTGTGCACGCGTGTGTGTGTGCACGTGAGTGTGTGTGTGCCGGCATGAGCTTGCATGGGGAGGGTGACACGGTCGCCCGAAGAGTGAGCTTAGTCACCGAGTCAGGAGGCGTTCGTGGCTCGACCGAGCTTTTCCAGAAACAAGTCAGCAGTTACGGGAGTTCTGAGCCCAAAGCCAGAAAGGCCCGTCCACTCTGGAGGGGGAATGCAGGCGGCAGGCAGCCGCGGCCTCGGGAGCTGGCCTGTCCGCTTCCCGGCAGGCTGTCCGCACCGGCACCTTGCTGGGACGCGCCGCCCGGAGCGTCTCCGGACACCACCTCCCGCTGGCCACGTGGCCGTTTGGCACTGATGGGCTTTCCTCCTCCCACGCGGTGACCCGGGGACACCTTAAGTTTGCCCAGTCCGTACCCCCAAGGAAGCACATTGCCGGGGACGTTGATCAAGGCCTGGCCTGTCCCCTAAGGAAGGTGTCCTAGTCCCACCGAGGGAGGAAACACGATGCTGACACAGAACTAGAGAGGCCGGAGTCAGGAGTTAGCCGGGGCTGACCTACGCCTGAAACATCTTGTGTCTCGGGATCCATTGCAGACGCAATGGTGGGAAATGGGGAAAAGAGGTGACTCTTTTCGGACTCATGGGGTGACCCCAAGTCCTACAATGGACAGCCGCATGGCTGGGGCCGGACGGCGCCTGTGCTGCCCGATGACCGTGTCCCTGCTGACCGTGCGTGAGGCGCAGGACCCTGCTGCTTCCCCGTGTGCTGGTGCCGCTGGGCGGGCAGAGGCCTGGAGGCGGGGCGTGGGCCGGCCTCCCGCCTCGGGGCTGCCTCCCGCCTCGGGCCGGCCTCCTGGGCGGCGCTGGCCGACTTCTGCCCGTCTGTTTCAGGCCACTGCACATCGCAGGGCGGAGCTGGTGTGTGGTGTGGGAGCCAGTTGGGGTGAGCAGGGTGCCTGTGGGGGCTGAGATGGTGCAGGGTCTTGGACAGGGGCTTTGCGTAAAGACGAGTTCGAAGAGACGCGGAAGTTTCCAGCTGCGTTGTGGCGGAACCCACAGGCCGGCCTCGTCCAGGCTCAGGCCGCCATTCGCCAGAAGCAGGGCGTGAGGTCCCGGGACCTCGTCTGGTGGTGTGACGCTTCGTGACCCTGGGCTCATTCATGACGCTCTTATTATAACCCACTGCCCAGCAAGAGGGTCAGCGGGGTGGCCCGCGGCACGGCTCCGGGTGAGCATACGGGTAGGCACAGGGCGGCCCGCACGCCCAGCGAGGCTGTCGGAGCCGGCAGGAGGGAGCTCGGGGTGCCAGTGACCGCTGCCCACCTCACGCGGCTGTTCTCTGGGCCTTCTGCGTCGTTTGCCAGAGACCGTGGCGGGCGGCGGGCCTTCCCGTGCAGTGGGGCCAGGGAAGCTCTTCCGGAGCGCCCGAGGGTGCTCCTGACCGTGCCACTTCGGGAGACGCGCAGACCTTCTGATGGCCTCTCGTGGCCACCCTCGAGGGTCTTTTCCCCACAGCCGCGGCTTCTTGTCTACAGGCAAAGGGGGGCGGCACGCTCACCCTCTGCACGGGGCTCTTGGTGCGTGTGAGCCCCGCTGGGGTGAAGCTTCCCCACGACAGGTCTTACCTCAAGCTGACGCGGATGCTCTTTCTCCCCTCGGCCCTTGGGCCGTCCCGGCGGGTGCGCGGGCTCTGGCCCCTGGGATGGCTTTGGTGCGGCCGGGAGAACACAGCTCTCCTCGCACGGGGGTCCCCGTGCAGGGCCTATTTGGGGCCCCAGCTCCAGGCGTGCTCTTGACGTGTGCATGCCGGGAGCTCAGGAGCGGCCCCCGACCGACGGGCGTTCTTCGGGAAGCTGGAACGCACGTCTCCCTCGAGCCCACGGCCAGAGGAGAGTTGGAGCTGCGGATTCTTCACTCCTGTCTGCGTGTCGGTGTTTTCCCGCGCGGCTGTGGGGTGGGTCCGCTGGCCTGAGCTCAAAAGCCCCCCCAAAGGCACCAGGACATTGATTGGGTCAAAACCGAGCGGGTGTAACAGCCCTGGCTGCTCGCCAAGGTCTTGCAGTTCAGGATGGTGAAGACTGGTCTTTGGGGGGACCCAACACTTTCTCCCGGGAGCAGCTCTTACCTCGAGGAAAGGTCCCCTGCAGGCCGGGGTGGGGCCGGCCTCGGCCTCGGGGATGCAGGGCCAGCGGCCACCAGGTCAGGGTCCCAGAGGGAGCGGGGGGCTGCGTCCCGGGGCTCCGTGGCCAACGAAAGCTGGCGTGTGGGGCACCGCGGAGGGCGGGCAAGGAGAGAGGGCGTGGTGGGTGACGGGACAAGGGGCAGTGCGTCTGGGCTCTGAGTCTCCTTCTCAGGCGCATCTCTAGAAACCGCCACGGAGCTAAATTTACAGACTCGCTTGGGCGTTGAATTTTTTCTGTACCATGGAGATTCTCTCCGCGCAAGCGACAGGAAACCTGCCCAGGCTGCTTAAGCCGAACGGCAGTGCATTGTCTCCATCATCAAACCCCCAGACTTGCTCCTGGTGTGACTGCACCCCAGGCGCAGAGCCCCCGCTGCACACGCCCCGCCCCGGGTCCCCTTCTCGCCCTCCCGCCTCGCTGCGCCTTCTCCCCCCCCTCCCAGACAGTGACCGTCGTGGCGGAGGCTGAGTGCGAAGTAGACCCCCGTGCGCAGGCTAATGAATTTCGAAATGATGATGCGGGAAGCTGCGGGGGCTGAGCCGGCTCTGGGGCTGCTCAGCCGGCAGCGAAGGAGCTGTGCCCCGACAGCCGCCGGCTGGGACCCCGGGACCGCCGGCAGAGGCCGAGCGGGGAGGGGCTGCTGGGGCGCCGGCGGGAGGAGGCGGAGCGGGGGCGAGAGGACGCCCCAGAGACGGAGGGGGGCGGA